AAAGTGACAGAAAAAAAACGAATGAGCCCCTACAACTATCCGAAGCTTAGTGTTCCTGAACTATGACCGGTTCTTCATCTGCGATGGGACTCTGTAGACATAACAAACAGCTCATGTTCTAAGCTAGACCCAAAAAATACAATTGTATAATTCCCTATAATCATACGATGTGATTAACTAACACTAAATACAACATATCCATCACACTCCTCAGTGAAAAATAACAATTCTATTTCCATTTTTCACTCTGTACAATAGATTTCCTCTCACTGGTGGATTCCATTTACACTGGACGACCATGATAAAACGCTGGAGAAAAAGATCAAGAAATGTGTCCAACCATAACAATTCAGATAAATGATAAACAACTCTCCATTAAATGTACGTCTGTTATACATGAAATCTCTACTATTCACAATGTTTAACCTCCAACTGGGCCACACACCATAAAAAACTCACGAAAGTACCTCTTCTCTCTTCGTGTCGCTTTATGTCCCCAGCATCCATCCTTCCTCCTCACCGTATGGTCTCTGTTGTCCTGTGCAGTCTCGTCTTTGTGCGGGGATCGGGCTCGTCGTACAGCACTTCCTTGCTTTCAGGCTGCGTTTGCTACTTGATTCGTCTACGGCAATCTGATTATGAGATAAATTGCCTTGATCTAAGATCTGGGAACACTGTTCTTCCTCCGGGTATTGGCTTAGTCCGCGGTGGTGCCCCTTGGATGTATTCCTCCATCTTCCGTGAGTAACTTCTCTTTACTTACCACCTACGCTTGCCTTGTGCTCCCCGCTCGCGCGCCGCGCTCGTTCTACTGCCGTCGTGCTCTCGGGTCGGCCTTCGAAGCAGGTTTGCCTTCCGTCTGGCCGAACACTAGTGGCCGCAGGCGGGCCTGTGGTTGGGCGAGCGCTGGCGCTGACATCTGTTGGCCGCGCCCCGGGCGCTGACCGGCCCCGGCGGCGCGGCGGCCCGGCGGGGCGCTCTGATCACTCCTCGGCATCCGTGCCTTCCAGCCCCCTCCCCGGCGCGCCGACGGCGCTTCAGGCGCGGCTGCTGTCCCTTGTCTGCTCCCTGACGCCTGGGGCTCGTCTTCCCACCCCTGGGCTACTTCCCCTCCTCCCGTGGCCGGTCCCACGAACTCCCTCTGTCACAACGACCCTGGTCTTTCTCACTGCACAACTGCCGCAGTGGCTGCACCCTGCATTTTGTGACCACTTACTTATGCACCTTAGGCCTTTAAAGCACTGTATTTGACCATGCACCTTAGGACATTCACCCAATGCTTGTTATTTTGCTATTGATTTTATTTTATTTTATTTTATTGGTTCTTTTGCATTTTGCCTCCTGTTGTTGTTGTTGTTGTTGTTGTTGTTGTTATAGTTATTATTATCAGTCTGTGGAAACTCAGAAATTCTGACTTCCCAGTTCAAATAGAATGCTGGTTAAACAGATACAGTACCTGCTCATCTCTACTTCCTATTAGAAATGTGAAGACTCCGAGCGATGACATAATCAGATTAACTGTTTCACAAGCTTAGTACTCTCCAGTAAACTGACCTTTCTGTGTAAATGTTTTCATATTATTTTGCATTGACAGCTAAATAAACTTACCTTCTACAGAGGTCAGTACTGTTATCTGTATGTATGCTTCAGATAGACATTAGCAAAACAAATTAAAGAGTTTTCAGTTTATAATTTTAATATCAATAAAAATCCAACATGTGTCTTCTGTCAAGAAAAGTTTGGGAATGCATAACAATATTTTGGGGAATATTTACATAGATATTCACAAAAAGTATTAAACTACTACCCCGGAGAGTATACATCTTAAGTAATAAAGTAATAAAATGAACAAAACATCAACATAACAAACAATATTCAGAGAATATAAAATTGTAAATTATATAAAACAAATTATATTTTATACTTTATATTTAAAATTGCTTTTTAAAAATCGGCTTCAGTACAGTATACTAAATGTGCAATTTATTTTGGAACTCCACTCTGTTGAAGTCATTTATTTTAGTACAAATACAGCTCCATATTTGAATTCCAAGTGGCATTTCCTATCATCACTGACATTTTAACCAGTACCTGCATTCATTTTATAAACAACATTCAGCAAAAAGCAATAATCTTTTTGGCTAGTGAAGCTTGAACGTAATTATGAAAATATGAAATGAATGAAAAAGGAAACTGATCAATGGCCGATAAATGAACCAATGTCTTTTGCTGTACAAACAAATCAATACGCTTGATGTGCGTGCTCTCACACATCAAGTGATTTCCGAAAGTGCTGTGCTCTTTGGGCCAGTTCCTTAGCAAACTCTTGAGCCTCATGCAGAGCTTGCGTATCCGGGAAGTGCAGCGCCGCCTTCTTGGTGGCCACGGCTAGTTGCTTCAGGAGAGCACACAGGTGGTTGCTCTTACACAGAAGGCTCCGGCTGGACCCTCCATGTTGGGCCTCCCTGCACAAGGTGTCCACCAGTCTCTGGCCCACCATGATCACCAGCTTACTTTGCCGGATGAAATTTTCTGGTGGCTGGCCATCTCGAAGGCTGTCCACAAATCCCCCGATGGCCTTCTGGAGAGCGCCAAAGTAAAGCCGGCAGTGCTCTGACAGGGAGGATGGTGGATGTTCTTCTGTGCCGCTGCTGGACTCAGAGGAGTGGCACTTGTTATCAGCCTGAGCGGTGGAGACATGGAACAAAAAAGGTGATGATGGCCACATATCATGTCTTCTGGACAACAGTGTTTCCTGTCTTTTTCTCACTACAAGGAAAGCCTTAAAGGTCCAGTGTGTAATAGTATTTAGGAGGACCTATTGTCAGGAATATAATAATATATAATATTCATAATTTCCATAATATCTACAGACACCGCAGGTTGCCTTCCATGGAGTCCACCATATTGAACCACCATGTTTCTACAGTAGCCCAAACACAAAGCAAACACTGGCTCTAGATAGAGCTGTTCGCATTTTTTGCATATTTCACCTCCACTGTAGTTTCTCCTTTGTGCTTGGAAGAGGAAGGGGAGGGTGATGCAAAGAAGTTGCAATCTGAAACTACACCACTAGATGCCACTAAACACTGGACCTTTAAACATAGTATAAAAGTAACACCAAGCTAGCAAAGAGGCAGTAAACTGACTGTAACTAACATTAGCTACTGTTACTATTAGCCACCATAAGCCCCTGGTCATACCAGGCCGAGTGAAGCTGTAGCAGAATAAGCGCTGGGTGTACTGAAATGGCAAATGGAGTTTTGATGCTAATTAACCAAACTTTTCATTTGTAATGAGAAGAATTTTGTTACTTGGTCTTCCAAAAGTTTCATAGCCTAGCTTTAAAAAATTTCTTGACAAACCAAATACTGGCCGTTGATACGACAATATTTTCCCCGTAGTTTTTTGATGGTAGTTTTTCCTACGTGCTTGCAATCTTTAATCTCACCACTAGATGCCACTAAATCCTACACACTGGAACTTTAAATCCTGGATAGCTACATTGTAGTTGGATATATACAAAATAAACAAAGAGACAAATGTGTTTGTTGTTTTCTCATTAAGTTGGAACAAATCTCTTGTGTTAATAGGAGACTCAACTGCACCTTGTTAGAGACTGGTGTGACATTTTGTTTTGGCTCCTTTTGCACTTCCTTCTGCTTTTCAAAATCAGTCTTAGTCTGAGAAAAAGTCAAGAACAAAAATATCATGTTAGTAAGTATGCTTTGGGTTTTCCTTGGTTTAAAGCAGCACCAAAGTAACCAATATTATGTATGAAGCCTAGAAGCTCTCACCTGTAGCTCTACATAGTCATTGTCATCCTCTACTATATCCCCTCCTTCTTCGCCTCCATCAGGACTTTTCTTTGTCTCTGGCTGACCTGTGGTGACAAGAGGTTCTGGGTCTTTCTGAGGGGCTCTGAACAGAAGCTTGCCATTGGCATTGATGATGGACACCAGGCGCTTGACGTCCTCTGGGACAGTGCGTGCCACCATAACAAAGCGCTCCAGTTGGTCAGGTGTCTGGACTTGCCCCGGGTCTTGACAGAGTGTGTTAAGGGGCCAGCCAGCGATGTTGAGAGCACTTACTGTTTGTTGTAGGATGACGCCTGAGTCTTCTACGATGGACAGCTGTTTACAGAGCCTTGTCTGAAGATTGGCATCGGTCAAACGGCGGGCATTGCCCTTAACATCCAGGGCAAAGTTTAGGAAGGATGTCAGAGAACATGCAATCCCATCTGCTGCCTCTTTGATCTCCTTCAGGTGTTTCTCAAGATGTCCTTTGCTCCTCCAATGACTGCTGACAAAGTCCATGAGATGGGGCACAGCCTTGCAAACGCACTCCTGCAGGTCCAGAAGTCTGCGGCAGGCCACGTCCTGGCTGACGGTCACTTCTCGCAAGGGCTCAGGAGAGGAGGAGCTCAGAGCCAGAGAGTCACAAGAGCTGGTGGAGGAGCTGGAGGCAGTGCTGATTCTTTGACTGTCTGCTGCAGAGAGGCGTATGGTTCTACGTCGCTCGTCATCCTCCTGCGCCAGTGACTCCCCACTTCCTGGAAGGTCACGAAGAGACGTACAGGCCAGGAAGTTTCTCATTCTCTGCAGACGCACCCTTTTGAGTTCATGAGCATTGTTTGAGTCGCCCCTGCACTCTAGGGGTATATGATCACTGGTGGAATCACTGAGAACTCGGGTGAGGGGGTCCTCCTGGGGTGGAACCACATAAACAGACTCCTCTGTGTGCCTCTGAGTTGGGGGCTTGTCATAAATTGGGGCCCTTGGCAGCACTTTGGGTGGTGAACTGGGTTTTGGTATATCATAAAGCAAGGGAGCTGGACTTCCTCTTTGAATGGGCCGAGCATGTACTGGAAGAGTGTCATAGAGGTCCCTACAAACGGTTTTGGAGGGCAATATGTCATAGGAGCCTTGGGGTGGACTTTGTTTCTCAGGACCCACTGGCACATCATAAA